GGTTCCAAAACTGATTTGACTCAAGTCATTTTGACCCCAGAGCTTGTAGTTTTAACTTCAGTACTATTTAGGGATTCAATAGTAAGGCCTAGTGGATTTAGTGTAGTAAGTACATGTGATAGCAGAGCCTCCATCGGGTGTATCTTACTATTCTCACTCTACCTTAGGCCTTCTGCTTTTGCTACTGCTCAGTATATTTTATGTAAACAAATAAGAACTTTACAGTATAAATCAAGTAGTTCGGAAAAATTTGAACTTCAGTTAATTACAGTTTCATTATAGAAATACAATTCCACATAGGGAATAAACAGTCAGAATTCCAAGCAAACTTTTTTGTTCCTCTTTGCCATTAAAATCTTAAATTTTGAGTTGAGGGTGTAGCTCAATTAGTAGACCCCCTGAGTTTGATCGCCATCACCTCCTTAAGCCAGGATATGGTGGTACAAGTCTGTAATCCCAGCACTCAGGAAGTAGTGAAAGGAAAAATCGGAAGGTCAAGGTCATCTTTGGCTATATAGAGTTGGAGACCAGCCAAGGAGACATGAAATCCTGTCTCACTAAAAAATAGCACACATTTCATGACTCTCTAACTTTCTGGTAAGACTGGATTTCAAACTATGGGAGTCCATGATCCACTCTAATTATTCCTTAAAAGCTTATAGCCTATTATAAAATATTTGCTCCTGGCCTTATTCTGTCTTATTACTCCAGAAGAAAAAAATGTAAGAAGCTATGAAAGAATTGACACTTTCTTTCTACATCATTCTAAAAATACCCAAGGATTTCATAATGAAAAAAAAAAAAGCAACAAAAAAGTGTCCTGTCTTGAATCCTGTTTTAGACATGTAAAGCCTGGTGTGTCTCTAAAGAACAATGCACAGCCCTGACACAATGTTCTCACAACAATTAAATTTGTCATCATTCTGTCATTCACCTGACTACTTTTTGGAGGTCTGGTAATGTCCCTCTCCCTCCTCTTTTCTCCCTCCTTCCCCCCACCCACTTTGGGTATGATTGTGTGTATGTTCGAGTGTGTCCTGTGTACACATGAAATAAGAATATCAAATGTAATGAGAACCAAGTTTCTCACTGTCTGAGAAAGGTCTTGAATACTGAGAAGATGGAGTTCAGTGTGAATAGAGTGGTGTTAAATTGGAGTTAGTCACTTATGATGAACTGAGGTTTCAACACACACATACACACACACACACACACACACACACACACACCATGGACTAAAGAGATATGGACATTACTTTCTATATCTATATGAGTGGACAGACAGAAGTGCTTATATACATTTTTTCTACATTTCCAAGTTCTGTTCAATGAAAACCTAAAAGCCAGAGAGCCCTACAGCAATGGTTGACCCAGATATATTGGAAAGCCAAATATTTTTCTCCAGTAAGAGAAACTGGGGGATTTATGACATGACGACAAATATGAAGTGCTGGCTCTCCAAGCATGAAGACCTGAATTCAGATCCCCAGGATCAATACAAATAAAAGTCATATGTAGCAGTGTGCATCTGTAATCCCAGTGCTATGAAGGTGGATACAGGATCACGGGTGCTTGATAGCCGACTAATATAGCCACCTATGATATGAGAGACCCTGTCTCAGGAAACAAAGTGGCAGAAGATTAACAAGCACGTCTGACATTGACTTCTGGCTTCCCACAAACACATTCATGTACCCGTATCCCCTCACACCCTCATACACATGCACTCAAACTTCTTAGCAAAACAAAAATTGATTCCAGGCAATAGCAAGATAAGTATGAGGTAAACCAGAAGATCTTGATTATTATAAAGCAAGGAAGCATTTTCTTAAAATTATGGATTTGGTAAGAGATAATAGTTGCTAGTTTGAAAGACAACTTTATTTCAATGACAGTAATGGATCATAACCCATTGATTGAAATGAGAGCTAATGGTCAATAGTGAGATATATAAATTAAAAATATGGGATAAACTCCTTTGAATACAGTGTTTCTCAGTCTTCCTAATGCTTCAACCCTTTAATATAGTTCCTCATATTGTGGTGACCCAAATCATAAATTTATTTAATTAATACTTCATAACTGTAATTGTGCTACTGTTATGAATCATAATGTAAATATCTAATATGCAGGATATCTGAAATACTGCTCTAATATTATTATATTATTTACTAACTATTATATTATATTTTATATTATATTATATATTATATTATATTATTAACATAATATAATATAAAATATATGTTATGTTATGTTATATTATGTTATATTATATACTAACCAATAAAAATAGGAGGAGTTATAGAAAGTTAGACATCAAACATCATTTCATAAAAATAATAAAGTAGTAGGCAAAGTTTTGATGTGAAACAAAATATTTACATAATTTCACATGATCTCTATAAAATAGTTACTGATTATAAACTGAGGACTATGTAAATCACAATGAAAAGTTTGGTACTCACCAGTTTATCCTAGTGATGAAAATTCATGTAAATAAGAACAGAACACATCAACATTGGGTTATTTTTAATTTTTAAAAATATTTCTCTACACACACACCACACACACACACACACACATACACACACACACACACATACACATACACACACACACACACGGACAACCTGTAGTCATCAGTTCTTTCATCTAGCATCTGGATTCTAGGGACTGAACTCAGATTGTCAGGCTTAGTGGAAAGTGTCTTTATGCACTGAGCTATCTTGCCAACACCAACACTATATTTTTGATATTCCAAGAAGACAAGAACATAATTTCATGTTATTCTTGCCAAAGTAACAGCATCTAATATTGGGGAAACACGAGTAAACTCAAATTGTGAACTCTGCAAAATAAGTAGTCCAGCTCTTAACATTTTTGAACATCATGAACAGACTGAGGAACTATTTCAGACTGAAGAAATTTTAATGTCAGTGAAACATATCCCTTGCTCTCAGATGTGCCTTGTAGCAGAATGCATTATAGTCTGCTTTGCTTTAAAGTACATCATTAGGAACTTTTACAACTTTGAATGTGATTTGTAAGTTATATAGTTTCAGTGTTAATTTTACCAATTTTGAGTTCCTATAAGGAAAGTAGTGTCCTTTTACTTAGGAAATAAGAGTAATGGATTCTCATGCCTGTAACATTATCTTGATTTTTTGAGAAAAAAAAATGTGTAAGTTAAGTGTGTGTGCACATGTTTATATGTAGATAGAGGAAAGAAAGGGCACAGGAGAGACAGTAACCATCAAGCTAACCAGTAGGGAACGTGGCTGGAGGAGAGTAGAGTTCTTTCGACTTTTTTTTTTTTTTGCATCTTTTCTGTAATTTGCAAATTATTGTTGTATAAAAAATTTAAGTCACTATTTCTCAGGCAATTTTTTACTTTTATTTTATTTCCTGACCAGCTATTTTCTAATGTTCCCTAAAGCATACAGATAATAAGTTTATAAAACCGGTATTGTAATTAAATGAAGAAGCAGTAGTGAAGTATGATGGTTAAGCCTATGGGCTCTTGAGTCAAAACTAGTTTAGATCGAAATCCCATACCATATGGCTTAACTCTACATGTCTGTTTCTTATGGAAGATGGAAATGATAAAAATGCTCACTTTGTGACTGGGTGAGATTAAGTCACTTAACACATTGAATTCAGTTAGCATGTGCCTAGGAAATAACTAAGTTAAGGTACAGTCAAAACTTTCCCAAGGACTGAGGGAATTCAGTGCTGATAATTCTTAGCGAATAAGTGCTGATTTACATAACATTTTCTTTACTAGAATATCTGTGGCACTTCCAGTGGTTGAGGATTCTAGAAAAGCCTCTTCATCCATGTCTTGACCCAAGTCAAGAAAATTCTAGAAAATTCTAGAAAAGCCTCTTCATCCATGTCAAGACCCAAGTCTTGAAAATGTGAGATGTTTAACAACTGTCTCACTTATCCAGAGGACCTAGTCCAGTGTCATGGGGGCTCCTCAGCTAACTGTTTAGGGGGGTCCCTGGCAGTGGGACCAGGACCTGTCCCTAGTGCATGAACCAGCTTTTTGGAACTTAGTGCCTATGGTGAGACACTTTGCACAGCCTTGGTGCAGGGAGGAGAGGCTTGGACTTGCCTCAACTGAATGTAACAGGCTCTGCTGACCCCCCCACGGGAGACCTTGCCTTGGAGGAAGTGGGAATGGTGGGTCGGTTGTGAGGGAAAACTGGGAGTGGGAGGAGGGAGGATAGGGGAATCTGTGGTTGATATGTAAAATGAATAGAAAATCTCTTAATTAAAAAAAAAGAAAAGAAAAAATGTGAGATGTTTGGTAAGGCAGGCTGAGGAGTCACACCATGTGAGAATTTTAAAATGAATGTGTTCCTTGCTCATGGAACTTGAACCCCTCTGCCTTCACTGCCCAGAAACCCCAGGCATCAAGGAGGATAGAAGTGGGGGAGGGGCAGATATTGTTTCTTGAGAGTCAGAAGAATAGAACATGCCTGGGTACTGCAGGCAGGGGCTGCCAGTGTTTCTACAAACTATTTAGAAACTTACTGTAGGAACCATTGGATTTTATCAGGCCAGCTGGTGAAGCCAAAAAGGCTCAACTTGACTGTGATGCTTCTGGAATACAAGAAATGGATCTGCACTCAAGCATGTGAGCAGTATAGAAAGGATATGTTAAAAAAAAAACCTACATGAAAGGAAAACAATTAAAATCTCAGGTTCCTAGCCCATATGATGTTGAACACATTACCTTTAAAGGATACTGTGACATCAGGACCACTAGTTTCAAAACCAGGAATTTCACGTCAGTCTTCATTTTTGTCATTTGATAACCAACTGTGTGACCTTAGATATGCTGCATAGCTTCTCTGAGCCCTGGATATAAGTACAAATGGGATGATGCTGTTTGTCTCAGGGTGTTCTGTGAACATCAAGTGAGACAGTATTACAATGTTCATCATGTGTTCAGTAACTATTCATTATTTTTATTTTAACAGGAAACATAAAGAAACAATTGATAAAACTTGGAAGAAATTTCCAATCATCTTTGATGGGTAATATTCTTGTATTTTTTGTTTTCTTTTTGTCATAACTGTAAATATATATGCAGAATAATAGAGAAATTGCCCCATTTAAAGCACTGTTCGCTAGAGTCAGTTTAGAGAACCCTGTCTTCAGTTTTTGGAAGCATTATTTTGTTCTCCTGTACTTTTGTATTTTAAAGAACGTTATAGTGCTGGAGAATAGCAAACATATGAGTCCCTAGGTCGAGTCTATCTTTCAAAAATCAAAATAACAATGACAAGGGATTTCTCATAGTTGAAGTCACACACACACACACACACACACACACACACACAATATGCATGCTTTGAGGGCTGTTTTTTTTCCTTTTCTTTTTGCTGGACACAATTCTTTGGAGATTAATCCAGGTTTTGTTGCATGGTTCAATGGTTTCTTATATTTTATTGCTAAATAGCATTTCAAAGTGTGGATATACCACAGTTGAACTGTTCACCCATTTATTCCTCCTGTGCTGTGGTGTTTTTATTTTATTGTTGGCAACTTGACATAAATTGAAGTCATCTAAGAATAGGGAACATCAGTTGAGAAACTATTGCTATCAGATTGGCCTATAGGGAAGTTTGTGGAGCTATTTTCTTGACTAATGATTGATGTGGGAATGCCCAGCCCCATGGACAGGTGGTCTTGGGTTGTATAAGAAACCTGACTGAGCAAGCCATAGAGAACAAGCCAGTAAGGTGTGTTATTTCATGGCTTCTACTTTAGTTCCTGTCTCCAGGTTCTCACCTTAACTTCCACATGTACTACCCATCATTACACATTTATACCCCATCCAAACCTTAGCAAGTGATTAAAATGTGTGTTTTCAAAACAGCTTTCTGGAAATTATGGAAAACATTACAAATGGGGCAAATATGGATTCTAGGAAAGCGTCTGTTTATGAGGCTCTGGGAATAACCTCATTGGAATGGCCTAGGCCATCAATAATGGCATGGCTTAGCTAAATAATACAGAAAACATAATGTACTTACTCTGATGGGCCAGACAAGGGCACATGGGAGGAGCTACTGAATGGAGCACAGCATCTTTCTTCCAGGGGAGTCACAGCTACAAGAGTTTGTCTTTTCTACAGCATCAATTTTAAGAGATAACTTCACACTTCCCAGAATTAACTTAGGAGCTCCTCATGTGTATTTCTGTGGTTTCAATGGGAACAACATATATTCACAGCATACAGAAAGACATTCCCCAGCATTTTCCCTTTTCTATCTAATCAAAAAGGAAGAAAATTGAAATATGTACACCACACCATCAATACCTGTTCAGGATTTCAATGTGCAACTGCTCTGAGTTCCAAAATGCCTGATTCTGTAATCATGTATTTGCTAGAAGTTATGGCCATCATGGGTATACCTGTACAAAGTAAAATTGACAGTGCTTCAGCATATGTCTCTGGTAAAATGAAACAGTTTTTTGCTTATTACAATATAAAGTATATTACAGGCATACCACACAACCCTACAGGCCAAGCAGTCATAGAAAGATCAAATAGAACTCTACAAGATATGCTAAATAAATAGAAAGGGGTAATAAAACTCTCAAGAAATAGATTACATAATTTTCTATTAACTTTGAATTTTCTCAATGCTAAAGAGGAAGGAACAACAGCTGCAGAGAGACCTTGGATAATAGAAAAAAACTACAGAATTAAACCAGACTATATATACTTTAAGGATGTGCTGACCTCAGAATGGAAACACAGGATATGCATTATGTTGGGGATGAGGTTTTGCTTTTGTTTCTACAGGAGAAGAAAAGCTATGGATACCATCAAAATTGATAAAGGTCTGATTTGAATAAGAGAGACCTCTTAATTATAAGAGCTGATAGTTCATCGACCAGCATAACCATTCAATTTAAATTAACTTATACAAGTAACAAATGCTTTTCATTTAATTAGATACAACTTGTCAGAAAGGAACCTCCCCAAAGTTAGGATTGGGGAAGGGTTTTTGTTTTTGTCTTTCAGGAGAATGAAGGTTAAGGAATCTGAAGAACACTGGACAAATGATACATCTAAAGAAAAAGGACAAATCATCCAGAATGCATGTCCCCAAAAAAGAGTAAGTTGGCCTATTGGTATATCACATATAAATTTTTGTAAGTTTTCCCAAATGTTTGTTTCTGTTCTTTTCTACAGACACATAACACAAATGGGTTTTATGTAATTCCAGTTCAATTAAAAATTAAAGTTGGATTTTGAGTTGGAGCTTGGCTCTCTCCTTCTCTAAACCTAAGCATGCTTGTTAAAAGAAAATGCAAAATCTCTGTATCATGTCAGAAGAGCCATCTGATGTGGGACAGAAGAAAACCAAAATTAAGGGTCTATTCTATTGCCACTAATCTTATCATTATTTGGTTCTATTTTGATTCTTTAAAACTTTTCTTAAGGTATGAATTTTATACCAAAATTTATAATATATAAAAAAATATATATTAAACTTTTGTCATGATATTGATGGTCATATAGAGTACTAACTAATTTTAGAAAAAAGGCTTCGTCTAGCCCCCTGTACATGACTTTGGGTTTGAATTTCTATTAGTTTTTTGCTGGGAACTATGACAGCACCTACCAGTGACTTTGAAGTCTCCAAAAAGATGATGGGGCCACACAACGACTATTCCATCAGGATGATGAAAATACCACTAAGCTGGCAAACAGCACCCAAAGATTGCCTTTGGACTACAAACTGCTCAGGACAATTTTGAGATGGCTAGCTGATATGACCCAGCCTCACAGACTACTTGAGCAAGAACTTGTGACAAGTCCTGCATTTTCACATTATGCAGAGACTGGACAACAAATGATACAGCTAACTCTCCCAGAACTTGACAATAACCCCAAAATTTTCTTTTCAGGATCCCCTAAAGATGCCATCACCCCCAGACAGCAGGAAGTAAGAACATGACATCCACATTCCCAAGAGTTAGGGTAGGTGGTTTTTGGTCTTTCAATGGGTTATGGATAATAGTCATTGTTTAGGATGGTTGGTTACATGTTGTTATTGTTAATGGTCAGGAAAAAAGCTAAACAAAGTAGATTAGATTTAAGGTTCTTTGTAAAAAAAAAAAAAGAAAAAAGAGGATATAGGTAAGAGGTACATTATTGAATGTACTGGAAAAAAAGATACAGAAATAATAGGATAAAAGGGTAGATTATTGAACCTACTCTGAAAAGAAAAAAGAGAGAATATGGATATGATAAGATAAAAGGTAGATTATGAAATATACTTTTAGAAAGCAACTACTAGTTTTAAATATTTTACATTGGATTGGATTTTTGTATATTGTATACAAATTATGTATATTGATACAAATTTGAGATTGATTTTGTTAGAAAATACTGTATACATATTTCTAATCTTGTTCAAGGTATTGTACCTATACAGTTCATTTAACAATGTGATGCAATTTACTTTCTTTGTGGCAAAAGTTAGTCACTGGGCAAGAAAGTGCCCTCACATCGACTGCTGAACAGTATGCTGTTCAAAATGGACAAGCAGGACACAAAAGAAAGGACTGCTGATCTTTGCCAAGACAAGGGAGGTAAACTCTTTAGAAAATCCTGATTCACAGATGAGTCTGTAAGATATGCTATGCCTATAGGTTGAAGATGGATGTCCAAACATTGCAGAGAAACCTTGGGTGACTGTCCAGGCAGCTAGCTGTTTCTGCCATTCCTCACATCTTTTAAAGTGACTTGTTTGTACTTCCTGTTTAACTAGGTGATATTATTTCCTTCTCAGGTCTCTGAGGGAGTTGAAGCTTAGATAGTTATAGTTTTCCTTGTGAACAAATTCAGCACATAAACTCACTGAAGAGGTGTAAAGTATATAAGTTTGAAAGACATCAAAAGATAGTTTTCAGTTGGTAATACAAGTTAGGATAGAAAGTGAATTAGGTACATTTTGGACTCATCAAAGTAGGATAGATAATTTGTCAAATGCAAATGGACTAGATATTGTTGATATATTTATTGCCTATACACAGTGTACATAGTTACTGTACTTGTTGTATATAGTTTTTCTTATATTAGTTATAATTTTTATTTTAGACAAAAAAAGGGAAAATGTGGTGATATTTTATTTGTGCTCTAACAAATAAAGCTTGCTTGGAGATCAGAGGAAAAAGCTAGCCACTACGTCAAACCTAGAGGTCAGGCAGTGGTAGCACATACCTTTAATCCTAGCATTCTGGAGGCAGAGATTCATCTGGATCTCTGTGAGTTCAAGGCCACACTGGGAACAGAGCCAGGCATGGTGACACATGCCTTTAATCCCAGCACTAGTTAACCATAGTCTGTACAGACAGACAGGAAGTGATAGAGCTGGACAGAAAGAGGGAAGTGATGTAGCTGGGTGGAGAGAGGAAGTAAGATGGCAGGGCACAGAAAGGTATATAGGGGTGAGTATACAGGAAGTAGCTCTCTCTTGGGCTGAGGTTTCCTAGCAGTAAGAACATGGCTGAATTCTTTCTGCTTCTCTGTTCTCTCAGCTTTCACCCCAATATCTGGCACTGGGTTGTTGTTTTTTTAATTAATAAGACTGTTTAGCAATTCATGTTACACCTCAGAGAAGGAGAGCACTTGTTGGTCTTGCAGAGGACCCAGGTTTGATTCCTAGAACCCATATGGCAGCTCACAGTTATCTGTAACCTGAGTTGTAGTGAATCCAACACCCTTTTCTATCCTCCCTGGGGCCACTGAATGCAAGTGTTCTTAACCACTGAGCAATCTCCCCAACTCTAGGAAGAGAGTTCTTTTATTCTAAAAAAATCAGACTTTCTTTTTCTGAAGTCAAAGATTTATTATGATATAGTGATCTTAGAAGGAAAGTTGAAGATTTATTAAGATACAGTGATCTTGAATGGAAAGTCAAAGATTTATTATGATACAGAGATCTTGGAAGGCAAGTCAAAGATTTATTATGATATAGTGATCTTGGAAGGAAAGTCAAACATTTATTATGATATAGTGATCTTGGAAGGCAAGTCAAAGATTTATTATGATATAGTAATCTTGGAAGGAATTATTCCTGTAATTACTCTTCTACATTCTTTTCTATTCAGATAATCTGGAAAGTGGCAACTACATTGGAAAGCTTACTTTTTTGCATTACTTTCTACATTAATTAATAGATGTATTGTAACTTACATATACTAATTTTTGCTTTACAGCAGTACTATGAAATAAGTAGTATTACCCTGTCCATTTTATACATGAAGAAACCAGAGTAAAGAGAAAATCAACGATACAAGATATTATGGTTCGCCGGGCGGTGGTGGCGCACGCCTTTAATCCCAGCACTTGGGAGGCAGAGCCAGGCGGATCTCTGTGAGTTCGAGGCCAGCCTGGGCTACCAAGTGAGCTCCAGGAAAGGCGCAAAGCTACGCAGAGAAACCCTGTCTCGAAAAACCAAAAAAAAAAAAAAAAAAAAAAAAAAAAGATATTATGGTTCTAGAGTGGGCTCCAAACCAGACTCTAGCTTCAAAATGTACACTCTTAACCAGCAAAATCAGGCCTTGTTCTTGATGATTCTCTTTTCAGAACCCATGGCCTTTTCTTTAAACTTTAATGATGCTACCTTGATAATTCTGTCTCCTATAGCTTCTCAAACACTATGCTCTGCTCAGCAGCTGCTTCCAGGGTGCTTTTCTGATGTCCACACGCCTGGTCAAACATTTTTTGGGAATGTAAATGAGGGTTTTTGTGGGTGAAAGTAACATTTGAATTGGGAGGCAGAGTAAAATACATTCTCCTTTTGTAGATGGGTCTCTGCCCCTCAATGTGAATACCTGAAAAGAACAAAAGAGCTGTGGTCAAGCAGGTACTTCTGCTTCAAGAATTGAGCTAAGACACCACCTTTTCCTGCCTTCAGATTCCAGTTAAAGCATAGTTTTTGGATCTCAACAGCTACTGGATTTCATGGGTCTCCAGCTTGCCACTGCAGACCTTGTAACTGTCTACCCTTATAATGAGGTGAGCCAAAAAATCTCTCTCCTTGTCCCCATTTGTGTATGTCTGTGACTTAATGTTTGAGTATGAATCTGTTTGTAGATGTACACACATTTCCATATCCTATATATATGTATATATAAATATACGTGTGTGTGTGTGTGTGTGTGTGTGTGTGTGTGTGTGCAGCATGAATCTTAAAAGTTTTTATCAATAAAATCAAACCTGAGGCCAGTTATTGGGGTGAATGCTGGAAGATCAGAGAAGCAGAACAAGCCACAGCTACCTCACCTTGCCAGTTTCTCAGCTGATCCTGTTTCCTCATACTGGAAGCCTCTGAGTCCTCATCCAGAATGGGTCTCAGATGAACTGTTGCTCAAAAGCCTAAAAGCTTAACCAGCCAAACACTTCTTGTTCCTGGTTTTCACGCCTTATATATCTTTCTGCTTTCTGCCATCACTCCCTGGGATTAAAGGCTCACTTCTTGGGATTAAAGGCATGTGTCACCATGCCTGGCTGTTTCCAATGTGGCCTTAAACTCACAGAGATCCAGAGGGATTTCTGCCTCTGGAATGCTAGGATTAAAGGTGTGAGTGCCACCATTTTCTGGCCTCTGTATCTAGTGGCTGTTCTGTTCTTTGATGCCAGATAAGTTTATTAGGGTGCACAATATTTTGGGGAATACAATATCACCATAATATATGTTCTGGTAGTTGTTTCTCTTCAGAAATCTGACAAATACAGAACCAAGTTTTTTACCAATAAGAGAAATTTGTTAGTGATATGAAACTTTAGAAAAAGTTGAAAAGGCTCTATTAGATTTGAAAATAGCAAGAGATAAGAAGTTCTTATAATATAGTAGGTAATTGAAAGGCAAGAAAACAGGATAATGATAGTTCTGCCATGTGATATTTTAAATGGAAAGTTGACCTTAAATGTTTTGAAAAAATGTTGTTCCAAAAATATGCAATATACTACTGCAGGAACAAAAGAAGAAAAAAATAAAAGAAGAAGAAAGATACAAAGATGCCAGGGAGACTGTAGAGGGAGCTGTCTGATCAGCTCAGATATTAAAGACCAATTTAAAGATGAAAGAGCATGAAAGTAGACTGCTCTTGAAAAGGGACTTACGTGACTGAAATAGAAATAAAAGACAAACATATAAGAATTTTGTCCATAAAAGTTACATTCAAGTATTTGCTAAAATTGCAATAACAAAATATTGTGTGGTGAAAAGGGTTAGATGCTTTATTTTAAAAAATAAGCCTAAATGGTCCAGAGCAGGGCCTGCTTGAGTATCATGCTCTAGTGCTTTCTAGGACACAGAGTAGACCTCTTTCTCCTGACTCAGCATGATCTTCTCTTCCCAGGTGAATACTGGACAATGTCATGTTACAAAGACCCTGGGAAGAGGACAAAGATGTGGAATAACCTTCATAGAGTCCCAGCATTACATTCCACCATTTTTAGAGTTTGCAATTCCAAGAAATTGCAAACATACTCATAACATATTTAAAGTTCAGTCACTTAGCCCTTGTTTTAACTACATGGCCAATTCTTAATAGCATTAGGCACTGGGCATACATAGGAAACAAATACAAGATAATCTCTTTGGAAGCTTGAAGAATCACAGTGACTGATCCAGGAATTGAGGATAGGTTCAGATTTAGACAAGAAGTTTCCGAACTGGGAGTCACAGTCCATATCAACTCTCTGGTGGACAGTAAATGTGAGATTCCGACTTTGGGATAGTGGATTCTTCTCTTTACTTACTCTGCTTTTACAGATTAGTTTGTATTGTCAACTTTATTGAAATAAACTATAGAGATATTTGGGAAGAGGGAACTTCAGTTAAGGAATTATCATATTATATTAGCCTATGCTCATGTCTATAAGAGATTATCATGATTGATGATTAATATGGGAGGAAAAATCCTGTTGTGGATGGTACCATTCATAGGCAGATG